CACAGCCCTCTGCCCAGCAATTCAGTCCCTCAGGGAGTTTGGATGTGTCTATGGAGCTTCCATGACCTTTCCTTGTACAAGTTGTGCTGGTTTCCCCAGTATTGTGTACTGTCTCACCCTTCACCAAAGATACCACTTCTGATACACAGCTTTTCTGATTTTAAACCACTCGGTATCCCGTTGTTCTGTTCTAATGACTGCCTCTTGGTCTATGTACAGGTACCACATGAGCACAATTAAGTGTTCTGGAATTCCCATTCTTAGAAATATTATCTGTAATTTGTTATGATTCACACAGTCTAATGGCTTTGCATAGTCAATAAAACACAGGTAAACATCTTTCTGGTATTCTCTGCTTTCAGCCAAGATTCATCTGACATCAGCAATGATGTTCCTCAGTCCACGTCCTCTTCTGAATTTGGCTTGAATTTCTGCTGAAACCATTTTTGAATTAACTTCAGCAAAATTTTACTTGCATGTGATATTAATGATATGGTTCTATAGGGTTGCTACAAGTTAGAATCGACAGCACCCAAAAACATTTTATACACATATATATATGTCCTGTCATATAATCACAATTACAGAAATGCTTTTCATCTGGGGAGGAGAAGAGTCATCTGACAACCACTCTGTGTTTCCTATCATCATATTCTCAGTATTTTTTGTGTGCCCCCAACCATGTGTTGCCCAGATACTCTGTTCTCTACCACCCCAGCTGTTTCTTGAATCTAGGGATCTCTTCACTGAGAGTTCAACCCTGTATCCATCAACCAATCCCACAGGGTCTCAGGATCCAGGAAATCACCCTGTGATTAATGTGGGGGGTGGGAGGAGACAGGAGAGGGAAGAAGCAGCTTCTGTCTCTCTCTCCTCTTTGACTAAATGGACATCTTGGACTAGACCTCCTTTGTGGGCCCTAATTATTGATTTTATTACAGTTCATACTCCATTCTCATTTTCCATCTGCCTCTCCCTGTAATTCTGTATTCCCTGGTGGCTGAACTGCAATAGCCCGGCTAGAGATCTGCAGCTGGTTCACTCAGGCTGAAGAGGGCATTTTCCTATTTGCCCTTTTCTTTCACAGCTCCCCATCAGGCTGAATGCTGCCTTCCTTCTGACCTTGTGCTTTTTGGCTTTTGCACTCCAAACTTGTGCCTTTCACAGACCTTTGGACTGCTACTAAATTGCAGGACTAATCACACAGTAGCATCTCTCCCAGTCCAAGGACATCAGTCACCTGAAAGGGAGAGAAGGAAAAAAGATGAGAGGAAAAGGCTGACTTGTGGGGCCTAATTGCCTTTTCCCTGTGTTTAGGGTCACTGGGCTTCTTAGGTAACAGTGATCCCCATCTCATTGTGGGAGGAGGCACACCACATCTCTCACTTACTTTCTCCTTGTCCGCCCTTTCTTCCTCTCTCTCTCTCCATGTCTTTCCTCTGCTCTCTCTCTCTCTTCTCTCTTTCACACACAAACCAGTTATTGTCTCTATTTAACACCCTTCAAGCAGCACAAAATTAAGAGCCTATCATTTGTGTCACACTGAGTGCTTTCTGTGTTGATTTGCTTTTTTTCTTTTCCCAGCCTCTGGACTGAATAGCCTAGTGAATACTAAATTTCATGCACATGGATGGTTTTAGACCCTTTTAACCCAGATAAAGTAAAAGAGAAAAGCCACTTGGGGTTGACACAGAGTTACCCATCCAAACAACTTCTCTCGAGCTTTCTTTTCTCTTGTCAGTCCTGAGGAACCATTCCTTTTCTGCAGGACCATGATGCCAGCCCACCCACAGGCCCTCCTCTCACCACAGCTTGTAGAACCCACCAAGGCAAAGTGGTCTGCTTAGTGCAGGGACTTACCTATACATGAGCTGCTAGGTGTATGGAATGTCTTATTAATACAGCAACTATGAGTGGGTTAGAAACTGGATATCTCAGGTATATACTATAGAGAGAATAATTAATAAGGCTAAGTTTGTCTATGGTCACAATGAGAAGTGGTTGATAGTGCCTCCCCCTGATTTTGATTATGATAGCCTTCTATCAGAACTTCCTTGGTGAAGGTTCAGCCCAGTTCTTCCAGAACCCCTGGGCCTGACACATTTGGCTTTGATCCCTTTGTTGGCTTCCAGGGAAGGACATGGCGGCTGTGCAGAGAACCCTGATGGCTCTAGGGAGTGTTGCAGTCACCAAGGATGATGGCTGCTACCGAGGAGAGCCATCCTGGTTTCACAGGTAAGAAACCCTTCCCAGCCCCTTGAAACAGAGGACAATTTTAAACAGAGGCAGAGTTTGAAGCCTTGGAGTTCCCAGAAGCTATTTCTACCCAAAACCCCTTGAAGTAAGCATATCCACTCCATACAGCCCCTCAGAGCAAGGAGAGACCAATGCTGCTATTTATGCCAACATCCCACCCAGAGCAGGGTGCTTTGTTCTTTTCTATGAGATGACCTGATCCTCCAGCTTGGGCTGGGTTTCATTTCTCCTGAGACTGGGAGGGACTGGATGGCCTTACTCAGAGGTGACTTAATATCTAAACTCAGTTTTATTGCGACCTGAGCAGCCTTGAATCTACAAAAAAATTTGTACTTAATGAAGGATAAATATTGGGGACTATACGTCCTGTTTGCCCTGGTTAGTGCCTGTTGTCCCACCATATTTATTAATAGTGCCCTCTTTCACACTTAAAAATATCCTGGTCTGGATATTTCCCAAAGTGAATTCTTATGTGTGTGGAGGAAGGGCTTAAACTCAAACCCAAAAGCTTAATGGTGAATGAAGAGAAAAGAGCACATGGTAGTAGATGATTAACAATCCATTGCCCTGAGTCTCATTTGTTTCCCTTAACAGTTATAAAAAGTACCTGTCTGTGTTATTTTAAAAGAACCTGCTCTGAAAATCTCCTAGAATATTGGCCAGTTGAAACCGTGGTTTTAATTCCATCTATGTTAGTAATCCACCATGGTGTATATATATATATATCTGGCCCTTTACAGAAAAGTTTGCTAACCCTGTTTCTGGAGTAAGAAATTTCCCCTGGTTAACTGCCAGCTTCCTCAGCTCTAAAATATCACATAGTTCCCTTGCATAATGAGACATGAATCCATAATGGGACATCAAGGGAAGAGTGGAATAGGATTAATGGTGAAGAGACTTGACTTGCTCTGTAAGAGGAGCTGACTTTCCTTTTCCTGAGTGGGAGAGTGTGGGGAGATGCTGGCTGAAATGACCTAAATGGGGGGGGGGGGGAAGGAGGAGTCAGGAGAGGGGAACAAGGAGGAAACTGAGAGTGAAGACGCCAGAGAAGAAGCCACTGACTCTTCTCTTCTCTTTGCTGGAAATGCTGGAAAGCCATCTGGGCTTCTGAGGGGTAGGGAACTTGCATATCATGGTAGACCTGTCCCTTTAATTGGTGCCCCCCACTAGAGCCTGTCTGATGGCAGACTTAAGAAGGGTTTGCAGGCTGTCAGAGTGACGTGATTCCATCTCCCTCCCTCTGCTCAGGAAAGCCCAGCAGAACCGGAGAGGATTTTCAGAGGAGCAGCTTCGCCAGGGACAGAACGTAATAGGCCTTCAGATGGGCAGCAACAAGGGAGCATCCCAGGCAGGCATGACCGGGTACGGGATGCCCAGGCAGATCATGTAAGAGGCCAAATCCCTCCCACTTAGAGAGGACAAATCTTCCACACTACGGTCTCCATGGAAAAGAAATAGTTAGTCACCTTCTGACCTCCTCCTCTTTCTCAAAGCCTCCTGCCCTCGGTTTTTTTGCAAGTGCTGCGTTTCTGCCGAAAATCCACGTTGCCTACTGCTGCCACCCTCTGTTCATTTAGAACTATGCAAAGACTCCGCTTCCTTCCTCTTCCTGAGCTCCTTTTTATGCCCTAAAACCTTTGTTTGATTATTTATTATTTATTTGCCAGTAATTTTCCTCCCCAACTATAGAACACACCTAATAAACACATTAGTCTTGTGTCTTAAAGTGTAAAGTTCATTCTTGTCTTAGGGACTTTGCAGGCAAGGCTGTTTTCTCTGTTGATCAAGAGACCAGCAAGATGTAAATAAGCTTAAGCTATGGTTGTAGAAATATAGGTTAGCTAGGAGGAAGCTCTTGCACATTTATAATGTTCATTTTGGTAATTGTAATAGAAACTCTGGGAATAGTTTTACCCACTCTAAGAGCCTAAGGCTATGAGTTCAAGAACAAGGCCTTTGACTCACAAACTATTTGAATACGTTTTGTTGTTAGCTGCCATCATACCAATTCCAGCTCATGGCAACCCCATGTACAACAGAAGGAAACGTTGCCTAGTCCTGCACCATCTTCACTATCATTGGTATGCTCAAGTTCATTGTTGCAGCTACTGTGTATTTTGGGTGACTTCCAGCACTATATTGGACAATAGTCTGTTGTTACCCATAGGGTTTTCATTGGCTAGTTTTTGGAAGTAGACCACTGGTCTTTCTTCCTAGTCTGCCTTAGTCTGGAAGCTCCACTAAAATCTGTCTACTGTGGATGACCCTGCTGGTATTTGAAATACTGGTGGCATAGCTTCCAGCATCCTAACAACACACAAGTCACCATCGTAAGATGGGCTGGTATATGAGTGGTGGATTTGAGTACCTACTTTATGCATAATAAGTTAGATCCAGTAGGGGACACAGGAATGAGCAAGACAAAGCCCCAGTTCTTAAGGATCTCTCACATAGATGCCCAGGAAGAATCTGATGGATTGGATAGACAGAATGTGTAGATGGATGGGTGGTCTATGGAATGGATGGGTGGATGGATGGCTGAATGAATGAGCAGTTTTCACTTCTCTAGCAATAATCTCCTCCCTACAGACCAGATCCTGGCCCTATGCTGACATTTATACAGTTTCTTCATCAGTCAGGAGATATAAGTAATATAGATTACTCTTCTAAAATGTTTTTTTAGGGTCTAAACTGCTAAAACTCTTGGTTATTGCCTAAGATTGAACTGTAGCTAGGATGGGATAGATTTTCAAGATTTTCTCATCCATAGAAAGATTAAGAGGTAAAATAAGTCTAGGTGCCACCAATTCCTCTTATCCTATCCTACCAGTAGAAACAAGAAACAAAGTGATGCATTTAGTAATAAAGGAAATATGGTCCCTTTTCCATGTAATGCATTACTATTTAACAAGAAAAAAGAAAATAAATGAAACTATACACATTACAATACCTAAATTGCTTGGGTGGTGGTTTTCAGACTGTGTTCTTTGCAGTTCTAGGCTTCTGTAGAGTTTTCTATGGGATCATCATGGGAACAAGGGGTCTGGGAAACAGAATCATGTACCACTTCCCCCACTCCTGCTTCGACCAGAAGTAACAGGTAACTCTGGTGTTACCTATTTTCATATTTTGGTTCAGCATAAGATTTTTTAAAGAAGACTTTTCATGTAAAAAAAAAAAAAATTAAAAGAAAAAGATTACAGTAGAAGAAATTAGTCTGTAGGTGACCTAAAGGGCTTAATATATTCTCTAGGGTCCTAGTGCTTCTTTGAAAGCCACCAGTAAATTGTCCATTCCTGGAAACATGTCTCACAATCACGACTGTGGTTCTCTCCTCAAACCTTATCTTGGAGTTGCCACAAGAGCAAGAGAGGGAGTTTGATGATTCCAAAGAAGTGAAATAAAATTGGGAGGAAATTCATGGGTAGATAGAAGGTGGTTAGGCTCCTGTTGGAGACTGGTGATGGACAGCATGAGAGATAGCCTCCATCAGAGAGGGAACAGGTTGGGAGAAAGCTTTCAGGCCATGCCCTGTTCTGTCCTCCACACTGCCCTGGCTCCATCATTGCTGTGCTTGAGACACCAAAAGGCAGAAAAGGCAGAAAAGCACAACCTTCAGTTCAAAGCCAGCAGGAAGCAGCCTGCTCAATCCAAGGCAGTGCCGGGTCCCAGCTGGAGTAAGAAGCAGGTGATAAGAAAACAGGTAGACTGGCCAGCCCTTGAGTATTTCATCCTTCAGTCCCTATCCCACCCATCCACTCCATCTGCCCCCACCCCAGGTGATTACAACTTAAACATGGTGCTGTCAAAAAATTTAAGGTTAACACCTAGGGGCAGGAATTGGGGTGGGGAGTGGCAAACAGAAAGTGAGAGAGTCCAATTTATAATTCCACAGACTATCTGCCTCAATATATTTCCAGCTCCCATAACTCATCAGAAGCTGTACAAGCTAGGACCTGAGATTTTTGTCCTTTTGTCCACTTTGCATTTGCAATCAAGGCAACAGATAATTCCAGGGAAATGTGAGCTTACAAGAAGCAACTGGAAGACCTGAGAGGTACAAGGAGCACAGATACTGTCATTGAAAGACAAACTAGACAACCTACACCAGATGAAATAGAATTCATGGATCACACAGAAGAATCACTTAAAATTAGCCTAATAAATAAACTAAAAATGGGAAGAGAAAACATTGAAAACATGAAGCAAGGATAATCCATTATGAAGAAAAACAATTAGAGATATAGAATTTAAAAAAATTAAATAAAGACTGATGGCAGAATAAATACAAAGAACACATTAGTAAGTTGGAATACCAAGACAAGGCACTCTGCCAAGAAAAAAAAAAAGCATAAGCAGATAGCAAATACAAAAGAAATATTAAGTTATGTGGGTCAGCAATCATATCATTGGAATCTCAAAAGATAGGGCAAAACAAATGTAGGGGAGGGAATATTTGAAAAAACAATTTTGAGAATTTCCCAGGATTACAAAAAAAAAAAAAAATAGATGGAAGAACTCGGTTTTAAAATCTCATAAAGTGGCAAAAAATGATAAAACTGTTCACTGGAAAATATTATAGTGAAATTTATGAATATTGAAAATAAATAGAAAACTCTCAAAGAGTCTAAATGGTAAAAGTAGATCACTGGACTTCTCAGCAGTAACCATGGGTGCAGGAACTAATACTTTCAATGTGCTGAAGGAAAAAAACCATTGAGCATAGAATTTTCTATCTAGCTAATTGATTTTTGAAGGCCAATACAATGGAACAATTAATAGATGTGCATGGCCTCAGACAATTTACTACACAAGGATCCTCTTTGAAAACACCATTGGATAAAGCACTCTGATAAGAAAAATATATTACCAGGAAGATACTATGGGGTATGGAAAGTGAAGGTAAGTAAATAAGTTAGAAAATTTTATTGTTTAAGGGAACAATAACTAAAAAATAAAGAGATAAAAAGTATATCCTAATAACTCAAAACTAAAATTCTAGACAATACCAATATGGTGCATGTGAAGAAGCACGGAAGACAGGTATAGATGAGAGTGTTCTAAGGAAATTGTCTTGTTTAGAGGAAATATAGAGATATTGATAAATTTATGAAATTATGAGAAAAAGACAAATTTTTGGAGTCCAGCTCACTTTATGAGGTTAATTCATTGTTTCCAAAACACAATAAGAATAAGAAAATTATAGACCCATTTCACTTGAGAACATAGGTGCAAATATTCTAAATGAAACAATATGTAACCAACTCCAAAGTATTTTTAAAAGTATGTAGAAAGGAGCTACTGGGAGGCAGGGCCAAGATGGCAGAGTAGTCAGATGTTTTCTGTGGTCCCTTTTACAACAGAGACCCCAAAAAACAAGTGAATCAATTATATATGACAATCTAGGAGCCCTGAAAATCAAAGGCAAAGTTGAAGAATCAGACTAAGTGGCAGGAAGAGGGAGAGACAGTTTGGAAGCAGCGAGGAGTTGCCAGACTGTGCTGGTGGCAGCCAGCACCCTTCAGGCTGGATAGGCTGGTGTGCGTGGTGAGGCAAGCAGTGGTGCTCAGGAGGCGTTTTCCACATCAGGAGAGACTGAGCAGCTGAGAGTCTACTCACACCTCCAGAACAAGTGAAAAGCAGCACTCAATCAGCAAAAGATAAGTACATACTTCTGACCTGCCCTGTGGATCAAAAAACAAGATAGAAGACACTAAATGGGCAGCTCCTGTCCGGAAGCAAGATGAGAAGGCAGAGAGGGTCAGCAGCTAGTTGAATGGACACGGGAAATCCAGAGTGGAAAGGAAGAGTGTGCTGTCACAGTATAGGGAGAGCAACTAGGGTTACATAGCAATGTGTTTATAAATTTTTGTATGAGAAACTGACTTGAATTGTAAAGTTCCACTTAAGGCACACACACACACAAAAAAATAAATGTAGAATGAACCATTTTCAATATTTGAGTGGATTATTATTATTATTATTATTATTTTTATTGAATGGGCTCTTTGGGAACCCATTTTTTTAATACCAAGTAAAACTTGAACTGTGTTCCATTCCTAACCTTTCTCCCTTCTAAAAGTCATAGAGAGAGTACCTATTCCAAGCCTTGCATTTTATATATAATAAAACTGAAGACCAGATATGAAATGGTTTATGCAACATCATTTAGCTAATTAATTTTTGAAGTAGGATTTAAATCCATTTCCTAGACTTTCAGAGCAGTGCTCATTCCTTTCTATTATATGATATTTCTGCTAATTCTCTCTCACTAATTCTTCCTAAGGCACGATTAACTGATAATTTCTTTATGTAGTAGTCTATTCATTCATTCATTCAAAAACTGTCCTGGTAATCAGAATAAGCCATCTATATGCTGAAGATATACAATGATTAGAAAACCATCCCAGTCAATCAATGAATCGACAAGAATTTATTAATTTATTATTATATATTTAAAGAATTGTCTTATGTTGCTGTTGGGTGCAGTCGAGTCAGTTCCAACTCATAGCAACCCTATGTACAACAGAAAGAAATACTGCCTGGGCCGGCACCATCCTTACAATAGTTGCTATGTTTGAGCCCATTGTTGCAGTCACTGTGTCAATCCATCTCGTTGAAGGTCTTCCTCTTTTTCTTTTTTTATTAATGTACTTTAGATGAAGGTTTACAGAAAAACTAGCTTCTCATTAAACAATTAGTACCTATACTGTTTTGTGACATTGG